AAAAAAAAAAAAAAAAGAAATGAGTACTTACTGAGTTATATTTATTTTTTAAAATTTTTGTTGATAATATGCACAGCAAAACATACACCCATTCAGTAATTTCTGCATGTACAATTCAGTGACATTGATTACATTTTTCAAGGTGTGGAGCCATTCTCATCCTCTTTTTCTGATCTCATCTTCCTCCATTAACATAAATTCACTGCCCCTTAAGTTTTCTATTTAATCTTTTGAGTTGCTGATGTCAGTTTGACCACATATTGATGGTTCTTTAAAAGAGCACAGTGCTCAAGGCAGACACTCTTTGCTAATTACTCTAAACTTTTTTGGGGTGTTGGTAGTGTAGTGCCTAAGGCATTTGATTGCCAACCAGAAGGCTGGTGGTTCAAACACATCAGCCACTCCTCGGAAGGAAGATTGAGCAATCTACTTTCGTAGTGATACTGCCTCAGAAACTGAAGGAGGGGTGGACATGAGTCGGATCTGACTCGACGGCAGTGAATTTGGTTTTGTTTTTTTTTAAAGATTAAAAGCTAGCTGTAGTCTGAATGAATCAAGTCTATGGAACAAAGCACCCCAGGTGGGACATAAACTTTATTTTTTTATTTTCAAATTCGAAGAGGAGAGATTAACATGACAAATAGTATTATAAACCCTGTCAACAGAAGAGAGAATATATTTATAGAACTAGCCTATCCCCAGAATAAAAAAGGTAGTTGAGAAGAAACATTAGGAATGTAGCATTTGGAACTGGGTGGACCCAAGAAACCCAAACCCTAGCTGACCACCTCTGTTAAGGAGCCTCCTGAGACTAGTGCCTGCACAGCAGGGTGCTGCCCAGCAGAGAGGATTAATGTTTTTTCTATAAAGAACCAGTGTTGAGTATCAAAATACCACAGAACAATCATTTTCCAAGTCCTGCATTTATATCTTTATTTTGTTTAGACCTCAAACACATTCTATTCAGTGGGGAAAGAGATATCTATGATTTCCCTGGTTATGTTAGGAAACGTCTTCAGGAAAAGATTAACTGTATTTATTGCAGTGGGAAAAGCAAAGTACTTAATCTACTCAATAACCATACATGCCAAATGTCAGGAGTGAAGAATTAAATATAAGTACCTCAAATGACAATTTTATTAAGCCATAGAGCTGAGTCTTGAGTGACTATTAGCATATATAGCACTTTCATCGGGAGCTCTGGTAGCGCAGTGCCTAAGGCACTTGATTGCTAACCAGAAGGTGGTTTTAATCACAGATGCACTTGAATTATCAAATATTAGAAATTTATAATAAGAAATAGCATTGAGAAGGAATTATGATCATTTTCTTGGAAGAAAGATGGGGCAGTCTACTTCCGTAGTGATACTGCCTCAGAAACCCAAGGAGGGGTTGCTTGAGTCGGTTCCGACTCGATGGCACATAACAACAACAACAACAGCATTTTCATCTAGCCCTTACGTGTATCATGTATCAGAACAGAAGCACTAAACATACCTGGTAAATAATGTATAACTCAGTTCACTCAGGGATAAAATAGATCTTCATTTTTGAAATCTATGTACGGGGGCAGATTCTCTGATTATACATTAAGGGCCATGTAGATGACATTTTAAACAATGAAAGACTTAAGTGTCCTATGTAGCAATGACTAATTAAGTATAGAAGCATTCTTTAAATTTGGTTGATTTTAATCAGGATTGTCTCTGTCTTAGTACCACGAAGGCCCTTAAATTCTTTTTTTGTAAACTTGCCACTGTGGGAGATCTGATACTTAGTCTTTCTAGGCTAACACCATAAAATGCAGATCATTCTCTTTCTTTGCTTGGTCTATGACTAGTTGAGCCTTCCCCACCCCACAAATCCTAAACCTAGATTAACAGTGAAAAAGGATATTTGAAATGAAAATCATGTCTACACTTTTTCCATCTCAGCTGTGTATTTGCAGCTATTCTTTCTACAGTAGGGAGTGTTCTGGAGTACCTAGACAAGAAGCTCGAGTGCCATAGTGGGTAAGGCATTTGGCTGCTAACCAGAAGGTTGGTGGTTCAAACCCAACAGCTGCTCCACAGAAAGAAAATGAGGCAGTCTACTTCCATAAAGATTTACAGCCTTGGAAACTCAATGGGAGTCACTATGAATTGGAATCAACTTGATGGCCGTGGTTTGTTGTTGTTGGGGTGCCTAGATTTCTACACATCAGCTTACTTAGGTTTTAAACTAGATCAGTACTCTTTGAAGAATTACTTCATCTCAGCAGGTACCAACTTATTTCAGTGTCCTCTGAACTCACCCATCTTCCCCATTTTTTCCTGGGCTACTCACTAGCATATTATATGATCTGTGACTGAACCCTCCTTCCTTCCATTGGATCCTTAGTTACCATTACTGACCTAGCAGGTATTTCCATTGAGTTTTCTTAGTATTACTGGTTTTGAGCTCACAAAATCCTTTTTGGTGTTTCCCCCCCTATTTTATTTCTTGGCCACAAAGTGTTAATAAGACGTGCCCTATTCTGTGGTTCTTCTACCTTCCTTCATGTCTCCCTCAGTCTCTCTCTGTGTGAGTGTGTGTGTGTGTCCCCGTTTCTTTGTGTTTAAGAGCAGTTCTTTTGGATAGCTTTTGGCTAGATTAGGTTCTAGTTTGTGACTACTTACCTTGCATATTCCTTCTGTTACTGTATTTAACATTATAGACCAATTTCTGAATATACCAGTCACATCAACCATCCATATATCATTTCAGTCCAATATATTTTTAATGGTTTTTTTTTATGCCATGCTAGACCACCAATGTAATCTCTAATACATTCTCATGAGACATATCCCCAATCTGTTATAGAGACAACCTTTCTTAGTCTCCATCTTCTTCCTTACTTTTTCCCATGTTTAGAAGTTGGCCTTCTCACTGCTCTTCCCCAGAAGCAGGTTAACTAATTTCCTACCAAAGAAGTGGTGGAAGGTGGTTTTAATCACAGACGCACTTGAATTATCAAATATTAGAAATTTATAATAAGAAATAGCATTGAGAAGGAATTATGATCATTTTCTGTTATTGAGTCACAGATCATTTATCTCCTCTTAACTTCCCACTTGAAATTTCTTATGCTAAGTTACTTGTTGTGATACTCCAAAACCTAGAAGAATCTTAGAAATACTTGGGGTGCTTTAAAAATAAGAGTACAGTTTCCCAGGCAGAAGCCAAAGAGTTTCTTATTCTAGTCATTTGTCTTTACTATCCATTCTAGATACTAGCTTCATATGAATAGTCCTGAAATACTGTTTTCATAGCATCATTCCGTTTCTCCACCAGTCACTGATGTGTCTAACACTTAGTAGGTATATAACCTAGAGCAAGTTATCTGCATTAATTCTATTTATTCAACAAATGTTTATCGAGTACCTACTGCGTGCCAGAAATTGTTGTAAATACTGGGGATACCATGGTAATAAAGATGGCAGAAAGTAAATGTTATGAATTTTGTATTTAGTAATGTAAGAAGAAAATAACTAAATCCATACTATAATATCAGAGGTCATGAAAAAAATGCAACAGGTTAAGGGGCTAGAATGTGATAGTAATGGTAGTGAGGGCAACTTACTTAGATTGGGTGCTTAGAGACTTCTGTGAGGAAATGGCATTCAGGTGGGGACTTGAACTAAGAGAAGATAGTGTGCATATACTGAGAAGAGTAAACAAGGTGTAGGGTGAAAAGAAATGAAGTCAAAATAAAAACTTTGGGTATTATTCTCAGTGCAGTGGGAAGCTACTTGAGGATTTCTTTCTTTTTTCCCCTTCTTTTTGCTTTTTTTTTTTTTTTTTTAAGCAACAGAGAGCCTATAATCTGCTTTGCATTTTAAGAAAAACAACTGGGTACTATAAGAAGACTTCATTGATGGGAAGAGTGCAAACAGAGAGTCAAGCTAGGAGGATATAATTGGAGTCTAAAAAAGAGATCATCTTGGCCGTGAGAAATGAATCAGTTTCTACTTCGAAGGATTACAGAATAATTTATATGAGAATAACCTTTCTGCCAAAGACAAGTATAAAATTTGTATAAAATATATAAATAATTGCACCAATAATTTCAGTGAGTAAGAGAACAACAAACATGAGAATTTGAGTGGGTAAAATCCTAGAGGGAACAGTGGTACATGGATGAGGTGAGCTCTGCATTCACCTTTACTTTTTTTTTAAATAGCTTTTTTGTTGTGATTTTGGGTGAAAGTTTATAGAGCAGATTAGTTTTCCATTCAGCAATTCACACAGTTTGTTTTGTGACACCAATTGCAATCCCCACAGTGTAACATCACTCTTCCTACTTCTTCTCTGTATTTACTGTTTCCATTCCTCCTTCCCTCCTGTTCCTTTGTGGCTTTTAAGCTTTAACCCTTTGATTTCACATGGTTGATTGTTCTAAAGAGCAGGTCCTTCCCTGGTGTGTTGTTTGGCTGAAAGTTGAGCCACAAGGGTGAGTTCAGTTCTACCCTCAAAGGGCCACAGTCTGGGGTTTTACCAGTGTCTATCAGACCAGTAAGTTTGGTCTTTTTAAAAAATTATTATTATTTTGAGTTTGTTCCACCATTTTCTCCCACTGTATCCCGGGGGGGGGGGGCAAAGAAAAAAAAAAACTCACTGCCATCGAGTTGATATAACTCATTGAGTTAGATCTAACCCCCATTGAGTTTCCAAGGCTGTAAATTTTTATGAAAGCAGATTGCCTCATCTTTCTTCCACAGAATGGGTGGTGGGTTTGAACCACCAGCCTTTTAATTAGCAGCCAAAGGCCCTAACCACTACACTACCAGAGCTCCTTCCATTACCTCCTATTTTGATCCCTTTCAGAGAGGTCAGCAGTGGTAGTTAGGTATCATCTAGTTCTTCTGGTCTCATGGTCATGGAGGCTGGTGTTCCCGTGGTCCATTAGTGCTTTGGACTAATTGTTTCCTTGCGTCTTTGATTCTCTTCAGTCTTCTTTGCTCCATATAGGAAGAGACAGTAGTTGCACCTTAGATGGCTGCTCACAAACTTTTAAGACCCTGTCACTACTCACCAAAGTAGGATGTAGAACATTGTCTTCATGGACTATGTTAATGCCAATTTGCCAATTGACTATGGTCCTGAGCCTGCACGCCCAGTGACTCATTCCCTCAGGTGTTTGGTGATGACTAAGAAGTTTTCATAACTTTGCCCTGTATGTTCTAGTATATTCGTGAACATATTTGAAGACATATAAATGCCTATGTAGAAATATCGTCAGTGAAACCTGTGTATGTATTCAGGGGTATAATCCCGTTCCCCTTCCCACACCTGTTCAGCTGTGTCTACGCATCCACTGGTAGATACTGTTACCACACAGTTGTGTGTGTGATAGTTCCTACATACTTGTTGCCTTTGACTCTTGCGCTCCTCTCACTGTCTTCCTTTGCCTTGATCATTTAGTGCTGGCCTCCCCCTTACTGTGTATTGCCTTTCTCTTCACCCAGGTTTTAACCTTACAGCATTTGCCTGTTCACATCATAGGTATAGAGGCTAAACAGAAAGTGGTGGGGGTGGAGGGTACTTGTTTTGTTTTCTTGGACTACAGAAAGAAAGTTGGAATTTGGAACTGCCAGTGTAACCAGCACTTGAGAGGCAAAAATTATAGACAAGAGGAGTTCCGGCAAGATGGCGGACTAGGCAGAAGGATTGCACAGACCCTCTTCAACAAAGAAAAGGGAAACCAATTAACACAGACACAGAAGATAATC